CATATGATGCATGTGTCTTAATTTTTAAGCAAAGTTAGATGAATCATATTCTATTATAACTTTTTGGAAGATTTTCCTCTTAATATATCATGTGCATATTCCCCTGGTCTTTAATAGCTTTCCTCAGTGTGACTTTTGTAATGTTTTTGAAGACTGTACTATGATATGGAAACATTTTTATGGCACAATAACAGATGAAAAGAATTATAATTTAATAAATAATAGGTGCCTAATTTTTAAACATGTATCTGTCTCTCCCCCTCCCTCACTCCCTGCCCCCTATGTCCTCTCCATCTCTCTCTCTCTGCGTGTATGTGTGAGATCAGATAAATATCCAGCTTTGTTTTCTTCTGGTCCTCTTTTCCAATTTATACATTAGCTCTTTAATCTATTTGGAATTTTTTTGATAAATTCTTTTCTCCCAAACAACTAATTTTTATAGCATCTTTAATTCAGTGTTCACCCCTTTCTCACTGCTTTGAAGTTTTACTTTTTATCACATATCACAATTATTTGTATTTTTCATTTTTCCTAAACTATCTTTTCTTTGTCATTTAAAAGTACATTTTTGTGCTAGCGCCACATTGTTTTAGCTATTGTAACTTTATAATTTAATATAATGGCAGTGTAAAGCTTGCCTTACTATTTTTCAAACTTTTCTTTATTACCGATGCCCGTTATGGTTGTATGGCTGTGATTGGGAGCCTGGCCTTTGTGCTAGGACAGCCTTGGATCTGAGCCTCATCTCTGCTCCTGCCGTCTCTCTGACCTTAGGCACGCAGCTTAATCTCTCTGAGCCTCAGATTCTTCCTCTTTATGAGGAGGTGATAATCCCTCCTTCACTGGTTTGGGTGAGGTTGAATGAGAAAATGTATGTAAAGTGTTAGGCACATAGTAAGTGCTCAGGAAGTGATAGCTATTGTCATTATGTGAAAATTACAGTAATTTTGTCAGGCTGCAAACAATATCCATTGGGGTAAATTCAAGGAAAATTCGCATACATACATTTTTGTCTAGGAACAGAGCTCTTTCATTTTTTTGTATTTTCTTCAGTAAAGATTTATACTTTTTCTTACAGGTATTACATATTTGTGAAATTTATTGTATTTGTGCATTTGACATGTAAATAATCATTTAAAAATATTTTCTACTTAGAATTGTATCACTTATTGGCAAATGTGGCTTAGGATAAATCTCTTGGCCTCACTTTTCCTATCCATAAAATTAGAGTCTTCTACCTTTCTTGTAGGGTGGTTGATAGGAGC